TCCCTTGATGCTTTATCCTTGTCTATCTTATTGTAGGTATCAACGGATTGCATTAGGGTTCTATTTGGTTTATTTAATAACAAAACTTTGTACCAAATTCGTGTCAGATAAAGAACTTATCGCATAAACGCACACAAATACCTGGCTTGTTTTTACATTTTGATGACCAATTATAATTATCCAAAGGCACAAATAATTATAATTATGGACATTGATAATCACAGGATATTCTCGCCTAACTTTTAAACCAAGAATGGTTCATCTAATATTCTTACTCTCTATGTAATACTTGACTTTATCAAAAAATCGTGGCTTCTTAGAAAACCCCATAATTTTCGAAAACCGAGGCTTGTGAATTCGTATTTAGGAAAGTAAACTCTATCGATCTATAATCTAATAGATATTACAGATTAAAATTCATACTGAACAGTGTTACCTGTGAAGCCTGTTCACGCTGAGATCGAGGGTCTGTCCCTGCGGGCTGGGAACCTGAGGACTCGCGGTCAAGTGCGGGCTGGCTGCAGCTTGAGGACTGCCACCCACTGTCTGACCGCCGCCATATTGCGGACTAAGGCTGTTGGAACCGTAGGGTGGCGCCTGTAATGACAATCGTTACGATTTCGTGAGAAACTATGGAACGATGTTATCTCTTACACGAGATAAGATTCGGAAGCTTCCTAAATAAACGTGTACCTGTGGGCTGGTCGACGTGACACTGGAGGTTGACAGGTCCATTACCGAGCCACCTGGCGAGGTTGGAGGACCACCGGGTTTCTGCATCTGCTGGACCTGCGCCACTGTGACGCACTTCACTGTAACAACAGAGACACGATGGATAAATTACGCGTCTCCTGTGAAAATTTGCGAAAAAGAACTCACCATCCTCGGTCTTCATCATGCCGGCAGCTGTAGCAGCGGCCATCGCCATCTGATGCTGCTGCGCGGCAGCCGCAGCCTCCTGATGGTACACCCGTTCCTGCTCCTCAGGCGTCATTCCTGCCTGTCCCAGATAATACATATTCGTCCTCGAATGTAGCTGTTGCTGCTGCTGCTGTTGTTGCTGCTGCTGCTGTTGCTGCTGCTGCGACTGGATAGGTGCACAACTCTGGGTGTCGTATCTTTCGTAAGCGGACGTGGTGCCAGGGTCGTACGGCCGATGATTAGCTGCGCTGGCTACAGCGTTCTCGTAACCTCTCGCGGTGGCGATGTCATTGGAATAAGTGACAACCGGTCGCGCGATGTTGCTTGTTCCGGGATGCATGTAGGCCCTCGCGTGCTCCGCCGATCTGTGATGATAGAGTTCCTCGCTGGTGGTGGCCGCAGCAGCCGCCGCCGCCGCTGCGGCCATCATGGCCGATGGCTCGTAAGGAGACCTCTGCGACATCTGGTGGCTCATCCTGGTGTCCTCCACCATCGGCATGGGATAAGCGACCGTGGGCTGCATCGGCAGGACGTGATGCGTCGCGTGTTGGCTGGGATGATGTATCGTCGCGCCGATGGATCCCCTGGAGCCCATGGCGTCCATCGAGGACAACGACGACGAGTTCGAGTCTTGGTTCATGTACGAGTCGTAGGTCGGTCGCACGGTAGGTGGCGGGGGTGGTGGCGGTGAATTCACTCGGCAGGACGCTGTCTCTTCCGTTTTAGGTACCAGCAAGTCGGACGTGCTTTGACCTCTGGTAGGCAGGCTGTTGCAGCAACTGCCACTCGGTGTCATACTCTCGGTTTTCGGGACTACCTTGCTCGTGCGAGACGTCGGGTTCTCCTCTGGCGTTTTCGGCGGTTTCACGTTGATCCCTGTACTCTTCGTTGTCGCGTAGTAGTCGTAGGTCAGGCTGCTTAGCACCGGTTTAGTGTCCTGCGCCGTGGACCCGTACTGAGAGTAGCTCTTGCTATCCATCGACGGTGGCAACAGGTTCGTACTGATGTATTCTGGAGGAATTCCGGACACTGTTGCGAGAACATAATAATGGTCTTGTATTCTGCGTTGGTGTCAAAGTCGAGGAGAAATCTGATTTCCGCTTGGCTTCGCTCGCTAGCCGATTAAGGTACATGCTGATGCGAACCAAAGTTCGACGCAAGTGACATGCTTCTAGTGAGTGAAAGGGGGTACCAGAGAAGCGGTAACTACTACAGAATATATCACCACTCGCTGCGAACTACGAGTAATTATAGCAACGATGCTTCTGCAAAAATCGTTCTCTTTAAATTCCAAACATCGCGACATAGCGAATTATTCGACACTTCGACGCTTCTCCACGAACCATAGCATTTGCAAATTAGGACTCCCTATAACGGGTCCCGTGTATCGTTCACGAATTAAATCCTACCGTCAGATTTCTCAGGGGAAAGCACCAAAGTGACCCAAGAGGACATGTCTTATACCCTCAAACGCTGGGTCCGAAAGAAGCAGAGAAGTGCCTACGTTCGCTCCATCGAGAACTATCGAGAACTATCGAGAAACGATTCGTGGATTACTTTCGCGACGGATCGAGAAGCTTAGGCTGCCGATCGGATTTCACGGGGCTGTTCGTCGGTGGAATTCCAGGCACGTTGGAGGGCTGCTGTGCCGCCTTACCTTGAGCCTTGTGTCGTGCCTCGCGTGCGGCCTGCTTATTGGCCGCGGCAATGGGACATCCGGACAGGCTCCTGTGCGTGTTCCGATTCGAGCTGACATGGCCACGGCCGTTGCAACCAGGCGTCGGGCATTTCAAAATAGTCTCATGCATCGCCAGAACTGCAGAGAACCCAGAGACACGTGGCGTGGTTATAGAACGCTGCTACACCTTCCCTCGCATTTTTCTAATTTTTACTTTCCTTATACCCTCTGAGATATCTCCTCTTTTCCTATCACACCATGCACACGTTTACACGCACACCGAGGTACGATCGGTCGAATCGAGCTGCCTCGGATCAAAGATCCTTCAAGCTCGGTTCCCTCTTATGCGTTGAGTATAATTATCATAATTCTCGGCGACACGGTTCGTCCCTTTCTGACGCGGATCTCGCGGCTTCGACCTCCACCCGATATTCACACCCGAGTTCGAGATGTTGTGTATAGTAAGTATACAGAGAAAGATAGACAGAGGAGAGAACGAAAAATAAAGGAAGAAAGACAGAGAAAGACAGAGAGAGAGAGATCAGATAGACAGATGGGGTTGCACAACGTCACGGGATGAAATATACAAATCATATGTGTAATAGTACAATCAAGTATACCGAGCGGGTAGAGAGAAACTCAAGTAAAGACAAAATCGTGTGACAAAATTATAAGACAACAACTTGCGGTTCTTGTGTGTCCCGGATGGGGTTCTGCCGTGTGTTCGTGTAACAGGGGGATGACTGGTCTCTCGTGTGACAGACGCCGTGCATAGAGTATCTACTATCTCATACAAACTGATTTACTGAATGTGTCAAACATTTGTCAGGTGATCCCTATCGTGAGAATGATAATGCGTGAAATCTCGAGCCTCCATTAAAGAATGCAAATGATAAAATCGATCAGATAGAATTTAAGTCTGACGTGAAAATCGTGTGTTTCGACAAGAGACACACACGTTACGTGTATTCTCTTCGTGTCGTGTGACGGGACAACTACGTGTTCCAAGATCCATGATCGCCCTTTCACCGTCTCGATCACGCTGGGGGGGCCCTCGTGTGCTGTACCTGATCGGTCGACGAGCGTGGGGTTTGTCGATAAATGGAACCGTGTCACAAGAGTGTGTCGATCGCCGTTTCAATTATACTCAATCGCACAAGATCCACCGTCCGATTCCGGCGTGTGCGCGCACACGCATACCGGCCTTGCTAGCCTCGCGCAGCACGTGTCTCGAGTTCTCCAGATGTTCGTAGGTACGGCCAACGTAAACCAAGTTCGAGTGTGGTGATAATTCTCTACTATAATTAAACTACGAACAGAACGAGAAAATTAAGAACGGAAGTGAAACGCAATAAATAAAGCTCTCTACCCCGCAAACGAAAAGCACAAAGAATATAAAACAGACAGACACATAGACACACATAGACGGGCACGGTGCAGCGAGCCCGTGGCGCTTCGAATCGTCGCAAGTATACACGAGAGATCGTGAGTACAGTTTCGTCAATCGATAAATTCGTGTCGCGGATCGGTGCCTCGAGAGATGGCGCGGTCGTCGTCGTGGTCGTCGCGGAGCACCCTCTCGCGGGTGCGCGGAGAATCGGCGCGTTGTCGTCGCGAAATCGGAATGTCGAGATTCGTCGCGCGTGTTCCCGAGATCGTGATTGAGCAGAAACGCGCTACCGCTGGAAAATAAGTACCGTTCACGCTCGTTCACTCGTCACTCCCCTGGCCCGCGCTCGCGTGAAAAAGGCAGTTGTCGCAAAAAGAAGATGCATCTATGTCAACTACGATAAGAAGTAGGAATAATGGTGCCGGTCGGCGACTACTTACTCTCTGGCGTCAGTTTATCCTTCCGTGGACAACCGGATAGGCTGAAATCACAGCAGTGAATCGTGAGACACGGCAGTAGCTCTTTTCCAGAGATAACCTAGTAATTATCTCTTGGAAAGTTGTTGGCTTAATGGTCGTACTCAAAGCGGGGGAAATTAATGATGTTGTATTTCATAAGTCACGCTTATACGGTAATTAGTGGGCTTCTACTGGCAAGAACGAGTCGTCTCGATAGAAGAATAATAGACCGTGCTTGGGAATTTTTGGCAGCCATTGGCGTATCATTCGGTGCTTCGTCGGGAAGCCAGAATTTCGTCTCGGATTTTCTCGAGTATTCGTAAAAGTGTTCGAGGAAAATATACTCTACGCGTGTCTGTACACGAGATGAGCCGAGTATATCTTCTAACGCGTACTCGAGGATGATCCGATACGTCGAATAGGTCAGCTAGTGTCAGTCCCATTCGGGTCGCCCTAGCGTAGGTGTCTAATAGAGCAGGGCAAAGTGCAGAGCACAGGTTAATTACCGATAATTGCTTACCTGCGGTGGTGAGAGTAGAGTCCGGTCACGTGACCCTGCCCCGTGCAGCCTGGGGTCGGGCACTTGTTGCCCTCTGTAACAAATCAAACCACGCCGAACAGTTAGATTTCGTATGCTTCCCGGTCATCGTACAATTGCATCGCGTATCGCGTCGTTTATATACTCGCAGAGACTGCATAACGCGAACATCATCGCGAATAACAAAGAATTACTCAATTTCGGATCGGTGAAGATCGAAATCAAACGCTCCAAAATTTAGCAATCGTTCGCTCCTCGAATTCTCCACCTATACGTCTAATTGGCAGCATCCTCAATCGCGCGCTTGACAGCGAGAGATCGTTAACGCGATTCGAGTCGCCAGAAGCGAGGAAGATATCGGTTGCATTGACAGTTCACGGTCTGAAAACCTCGAACGATTGTTGGAGCGCAATTGTGATCAGCTGATGGGAGCTGTCAACGATAGAGCGTGTGAATTCCGAGTGGCTCGGCCATTTCGAATCGATCGCATTGTGCCGTTTAATTAATATCGATTACGCGGCGCGTAATTGTGATACCAGGAACAAACATGGAACTCGTCCTTCGGCCATCGGTCCATCGGCACTGCCAGCTGAATTTAACGACCGCGACAAGCACGTTTGATTGCGGATAAATTACGTATCCACGCCGCTGGTCTGTCGGCTGAAATCGACGGTCGAGACGTGACAGCCACGGTCCGACATACCGGCAAAGTATTGTTACGTCCGTTTTTGTAACGCGGACGTTGGACCCGCGAGTGTACGGACATTCACTTTCGCTTTGGCAATGGAACCACCACCGAGAATCAATATTTTAAGCGAGCACACCGGTCTGTTGACAAGGCGCGGTCTTTCTGCGCGAGGAAAATGAAACCTCTCTCCCTCGACACCGGTCTCGCGATAATTCTTATTGTCGACTGCCCCTGAATGCGCGTATTTGCTGCTGCTTGACAAAATAAGCGTTACGTTTTAACTCTGACATGCATCGAGCAACGATGCATCGGGCTGCCTCGTTCCGTGTCATTAGCGATCAATTGGATGCACTAGACGAATTGTTCCGTTGGTCCTTTGGAGGTTAGGAGACGTTGACGCAGTGCAGTATCTTCATTCGTGACAGGTCAACTGAATTTAGGGATGAAACGACGATAGAGTAATTGTAATAAAAGATTCCGACACCAAACTGCTGTCAACTGCTCGTTCTCAGAGACATTCGGGAGAGACTAGTCGAACCCTTGGGCAACAGTGCACCCTTCGTTTGCGCCATAATCTCGAGGACTAAGTACCCTCTTTTCACACCTCCAACACTTGAAACCGAGTGTCCTTCGTTCGCATATTTATCAGCCCCTTTACACGCTAGTTACAAATCGTACTATACTCTGTTCTTGTTCTTTTTGACAGCTCGTGCATCTGTAAAAATTCTCTAGAAGAATCGGTATTAGCGTGTAAAGGGGCTGATAAATATGCGAACGAAGGACACTCGGTTTCAAGTGTTGGAGGTGTGAAAAGAGGGTACTTAGTCCTCGAGATTATGGACTAAGTACCCTCTTTTCACACCTCCAACACTTGAAACCGAGTGTCCTTCGTTCGCATATTTATCAGCCCCTTTACACGCTCGTTACAAATCGTACTATACTCTGTTCTTGTTCTTTTTGACAGCTCGTGCATCTGTAAAAATTCTCTAGAAGAATCGGTAATCGATAGAAGTGGAATTCTTGGTAAATTCGTTCAGGAGAAGATGAAGGAACTCAGTGGGAGACATTATGGAATTCGATGAAAATTAGCATACAACACATAACAACTGTTATGTCTGACATCGTGGTGTACTTTCAGCCGACACACCATCGCAGAATGCGTTTTATTTCCCGTTTGTCAATATTCATGTATACTTTATACTCCTTGCTCGGTGCATTGAACTCGTAGGAAAATAGACAGGCGTATTGTTAGCCTCTCTAATTGTCGTACTTTCCCTAGATGTACAATTTGGAAAATAGCATTCTCCTTCGATAAGCCGGGAAGAAAGAAATAAATGTAATTTTAATTTTCACACGGAGGAGAAATATTGCTGAGAAGAGTAATAAATCCCGGTGAAGGATAAAGCGTACATATTTGAAATTTTAATTTCTCGGTGGTTGCTGGCAATTTAAGGCAAAGATGACGGTTTAAAATTTCAGCGGGAAAGTTTAAATGAAAACGGACAGGCTGTGGCCAACTGTGATACCTCGGATCTTGTCGCACGGGCTACGCATTTGCGAATTACCACCGGGATTTCTCTGTCCCGCATCTAAGCCTCGGGGATTAGCACTAGGTATACGTTCGACCTAAACTTGCCCATGAAACGAGAAACAAGCGAGCTCGCGTTATCGTTGTTCATCGCGGAACGAAAGCGTCAGTCTTCCACGCAACGACTTTGTGTACTAAACCTGCTGCCAAATTATGTGGTCGACCAGTGGTCTACAGAAACGACGAATACTACGAGGACTCTTCGACTCAAACCTGAAGAAATCCTTCGATACGAGTTAATTGACGTCGAATCAAACGTCATCCACGAATCAAATGACCCACTATCTTTTCAACGATACCGCGTGTCTCATTAAGGCATTCCATGGAAATTCTATTTCTGAAATTTAATTTTATCTTTATATTTCGTCCTCGACTCACGCCAGCCATCGATGCACAGAGGTAATAGAAAGTACGAGGATTCTTCGCCAGCAAGCGACCTCTTTCGATTCGAATTAATTCGTCATCGAATAACCCGTTATTGTCCAGCAACGACGCGTCGCTGGTGGTGAAATTAATGTTCGGAAACTTTGAGGAATTCTTTTTTTTTTTTCACTTCTATTTTCCCCCCTCGATTTCCGCTATTCTTGCCGCTGTCACGAAATTGCATCGGGGGCATGCTCAAGCAACCTGTACCATCTGTCGTGTACTGGCTGTAACTTAATGGCTGGTATGGTGCACGTCACGTATAATCGTGTTCGTGTTCTCAGGGTGACCTCGCGTGACCAGACAATTACAGGTTTCCAGTACGCTCTATGCAGCCCAGAAGTACCAATCGCTTAGGATGAGACCGTCTACTCGGCCCTTTCGCTTCCAGCGCGATGTTGATTATAACAACTTTCGCTGAATAATTCTTTTTTACGACGGCCACCGCGAGATTAGACCACGTGTCACGGTGGCCTGGCCTCGATAAAAACTATAATCCGAATAATCAGGCAGCGCGATACGCGTAATGGGTTCGTCCTGAGCGTCGCTTTTCTTCCTAGTTAACACTCCTCGCAAACCGCAGCTCTCGGACAGAGTTTACTGCACGCTGCAATTTGCAATCTTTGATACACACACACACCCCGAAGATCGTGTCACCTCGTGATCGGCGAAGTTTCTTCCGCGAGCTTGTTCCCGTGCACGTTTACCCTTTACGCGATCAGATAATTCCTTTCGATTAGCGTACGTAATACCTGAGAACGAAAATCGTTTATCGCCATTCCGCGAATCGGGGTAAAAGCTGCTCGAAAATAACGATAAAGATTTAGAACCAGCTGAGCCGATTTCGCTTGAAATTTAGGTAAATCCTCCTTCATCGACACCTTGTCTAATCTCGGAAAGATTCCGCGAGACGTTGATCCGTCCTGGAAGAGTTTAACGAGCTCTCGCGTATCGTTTGACGCGTTCCAGTTCATTTCGGTCCACCCTGATCAAACGATAAGATCGATTCGGCGATTCTTAAGCCTGAAAGTTTCATTCCGACGTGCCATAGGTGCGTGCGAGGGGGACCGAGGGATTCCAAGGGACGAGCCTTAAGGGAAGGCCAGCTTTAGGTTAGTTGCGGGGGTTTCCCATGGAGTGAGTACACTTTTATAAACTTCGTCGTGTACTAATCCTCCTCTGACTCGGATCCCTTGGCCGACTACGCTCGACCCACGAAACAGCCGCCATGACGGCGAGAAACTTCATCAGGCCGTCATTTCGCGTTCGAGAAAGAGAGGGGCCCGGTCGATCCCTGCTTAGACTCGCTGGTCCACCTTCCTGGTAAATTGGATCACGATACGTGATGCCATTAGCGACATACTTTATTCGCGGAATCAGAAACGAAGTAGCCTCGCGTCGGGACAAGAAATTCCGGGCGAGTGGATATTAATAGAAGGAAAAATGTGTAAATCTCGCTTTTGAATCGAGAATGGGGCTACCTTTTGAACGGTTGAAACAGTGGTCTCGTGCAAATGGAAAAATGTCTGGCACTACGGAAATGGTATGTGTTTTTAATGACACGTATTATTACGAATGGAGTGTGGTTATACGAGAAACCTGCGAGGAGACTGCTCGGTTTGAACGGTTTCCTATCTATTGTTAGATAGAGGGAAATTAATTTCGAGAATTCTTCGATCCTGTTTCTTTTTCTTTTCTCCTTAGGGGTAAATTTATTAGGGTTAGAAAAATATTTTTCTGCAAAATATTAGGATACAGTTATTAATGCATAAAATATACTGATCTTGGACAGAGATTGAATAATATTTATTAACCCTTTGCACTCGAGAGGTGACTCTCAGTCACCATTTAATCAGATTCGAAAGATCGACGTTAATTAATGTATGAAATTTAAAATTACCTAACGATGCGTGGAATGTCGAAGAAAAATAATTCTACGTCTTAATTTGCGTACGATTTCTCATTTACAATTTTAAAAATATCGTCGACTCTGTGACAGAAAGTCTTCGAATTACAATTTCTCTGTAACGAAAAAGTCGTCGAGCGCAAAGGGTTAAATCTCTGACAATCATATTTAGATCGTGGTTTATAAAGTAGTAAACGGATTGTTCTACGAAGTAGAACACATCGATATTTTATTATTTCGAAGGCATAAAAATGTAGGCATTACACTGTACGCCTATTTTCCTCGCTAAAATTTATATATATATATTATTCTCCAACCCACTGCGAGTAGTTCAACGTTAAATAGTTCACGCGTCTTCCGCCGATACTCCCGTGTACTCCGAGTAGCAGTATCCGTCAAGAGTCAGACACAGCTGAAGCCACTGATCCACCAGCTATATCCATCCTCCACCGCTTGTAACCTAAATAGCATTAAACTTCCACAGTCTGAAGTTTCTTTACGTTCTATTCCACCTATTCTCTCTTAAATAATTCCGAATTATCCCGAACCTCGATTAAACTCGACCCTTCCAACCAGCGCAATCGCCAACCAACTATCGATGACAACATCTTAGCGATAGCGGAAAAACATGCGTGACTAATGAAGAAATAACGAACGGTAGGCTTGGATCGGCGAAGGAACGGCTTACGAACGGTATTCCGTGCTTTTTAATTAGCGACGGGGCTGAAAAACGGCGAAGGGTGGCGGTTGGCCGCCGGCGGGATTAATAAATTAGCCGTAAGGTTTTAAAGCGGTTGGCCGGTGGTGCCTAAGCTGCGTTGTAAAGGGAAAGGAAGAAACGGACGGCGAGAAACGGGGAAGAAAAAGGAACGAAGGGGCAGATAATGGTTCCGGTCAACAAAATGAATACCGGCACGCGCTGTTCTTTCCGGATCTCTGAATAGACTTGTAACGAGTCGGTCAGCCAGGCAGCTCTTCTTTTTTCCTCTTCCACCGCGTTCTCTGCCATGGGATCCCGTGGCGGGCTGGCGAGAGAGGGTGAGAGGGAGAAGAGGAAAGAGCGGGGTCCAAGGGGTGAGAACGAGGATGAGCAGAGGGCAGGCGAGGGTGAGGCCGTGGCCGAGTGTGTAATTGTGTTATTTTGTTGCCATTTCACGTGAGGGTCACCACGGGAGGTCCAGAGGTGTACATAAACACCAGGATTGTTTTATTCATTCGGCCCGCTGCACGACGCGTGCCGAATTCTTTCCTCTTGTCCCTTTCCGCCCCTCTTCCACTCTCCCTTTCCTCGCTCCTTCTTTCGTCCCTTCGCGATCGCGCGAGCACCGTGTCGAAATCGGACGATAGCGTGATGGGCAGGAATTGCGAGCCGCGTTCCATTCGAGTATATTCGTGATCAATCGATGGACGGATTTAAATGTCCACGCAAGGCGAGCGCGAATAAATAGGCGCGTATTTATTTTAATCGACCCGATACTGGGGTGCCTTTGCCGGCTTCTTTTAATCGTCGTACGGAGGTGGCGTAAGAAAAACATCTTCACGTGCCTGTTAACCCGTTCGATATACCCGTTGCACGCTCGTGCAAGGATAAACGATGTCGCCGGATAAAAATGGGCATGACATTCGACGGAATAGCGATCGAGCAGGGTCGGCTTGACGCGGTTACGCGGTGATCGATGCGGCCGCCGATTCTCTCCGGCAGACACGGTCGACGTAAGAAGGAGATCTTAAAGGGCGCGAAGTAGAAGACGAAAGATTCTAAAAAAAGAGAACAGCCCAGGGAACAATCACGAGGTATACGTATTTACACACGGCGGCGCTTGGCCGTAACGCGAGGGTAGAGCCCCTGCGCGCGAGTAAAGGTCCTTTTTATGCGTGCGGTCGCAAAGGCAGCGTAAAATTGAGTTACAGGGCAGTTTATTTTTTTATTAGCCAGGCCAACCCTGCCTGCCGCGCGGTTTCAACGCGGAAAGGGTGGTTTTTGCGGCCGACGGATTTCCCGATAGCGGTTTTATGGCGTGTCAACACGCTCTTACGCCGTGCCCCGTGTGTGTCGCCGGTGTATGTCTGTGTGTGTGTGTGTGTGTTGGGTAAAAAGGAGAAAATATTTAAAAAAAGAAAAAAGGAAGAAAAGAGAGAAGAAAAGAGAATGGGAAAGGGACAGAATAGAAAAAGGCAGGACGTGCACGCGATCCGGTCGCTAGATCGAAGGCAGCGGGGAACGAGCGGCGAGAATGGCACAGGCGAACGAGCCTGCGATTAAAACTATAGCTCCGTAGGGTCCGGCACGCCTGTACCGCCGTCACGCTTGTAAGTATGCGATTAATCGTGCCCACTTATCACGGCCCCGCGTTTATTCACCGAGATTTCCGTCGAGCTGGATTGCCCGGCCTATCGGTGCCTCCGGATCTTTTAATAATCGACCGCCCGCTAAGATTGACAGGTGCGGCAGAAATTTCTCGAAGGTAAACGTTGCAAGTCGCGTTACAAGTTTCCCTTTGCGCAAATATTTTCGCTTCGAGTCAGGTGCTCGTCCATGTTAATTCGCCTAACGAAATTCCTCAATTTAATTCGTTCGGAGGTTCATTTATTTTCGAATCGACTACGGGGGCAGCGAGTATCAAGTTTAGGGGTTGAATAGAAGCCTCGGAAACTTGGCAAAGTACTTCCTGTTCCATAATTATAAATTCTTAGTTGATAAACTTTGTATCGAGTTTGTCTATGTAAAAATAATTCCGTGTTTATACCATCCGGTGTAGAATAAATATGCGCGGAAAGTTGCAAACCTTCGGGTTCATCGCGGAAGGATTTTGGCAATCCTTGCACTGTTTCGTTTAGATAATGTTAAGAGACTAACGAAATTAGACGGGAAATCAGCTCGCCATAGCCGAGCCATCCGAGCCAATTTACAGAAAGCTCGAAACGACGAAGATTGAATTTTTCAACTGTTCGTCTTCGCAGCTTCAGTCGGAGAAAACGCTAAGGGGATAATGAGGACAGGCAGCAGAGCCACATGGTGGTAATAAGGTAGCGTGGTGTGGCTGGGATGCTAGTCACGTTTCTAGCTGCTGACAGCTGCGGCTTATACGTATGACGTGGTATCAACCCCAAATTTCCCCGTCTAGGCACATCGTGTCGTCGCTGCCCTAAGACCCTGGAATGCACTCGAACTCCCACCTGTCACACCGTGGAATGTTTCCCCGCTGGCGTGCGGCAAATTTTCCTTGATTTTTCGTCGTCGCTGATCGAAACGATCGCTATGATCGATCTCTCTGATCCCGTTTAGTCGAGTATCTCAATTTCGCTAACACGTATACTTATTTTATCGTATTCTTCTAAAATGGAAGTCAGAAATTCTATCATTATCCGAAGTTACGGAAAAATGATTACGTTACGGTGCTAATACGTAATTGTCAAACGATTTGTCAAATATGTCAGAATTCTTTGACTACGCTTCTATTTGGACAGCGAGTCCCATGGAAGTTGATGTCGAAGTAAGAAAACGATCGAGGTAAGTGGAATTGGGAAAGAAGTTTGAAAAAGGAGAAGCGATACAGAAAGAGTCAGACGAGGACGTAAACTCCAGCTTATAGCTGGGACTCTAAAAGGCACGTGCTCGAGTGCGTCTAATAGGTGCAAGTTTGCCCGCGTGCTCCGAGTCTTTACGATCATCGCGACGTTCCCGTGATCAAGCGAATAGTTTCGAAGCTGAGCCAAAGACGAAGACAAAGTGGCTGTAGCAGAGGATACGGAGAATAACTTTACTTTGAGAGACCTTGATTTCACCATTTGAGTCATCGCCCCTCGCTTCGTAATTATTGATTTTCCGTGCTACCCTAACTCCCCTAACTTCATAGAGAAAGCAGGAGAGAGTGTGACAGAAGAAGACCGACAGTAGGAGAAGAGTACTGTACGCGGGAGAGTCGAAAATGCCTTTTGTCCCCCTCTATCTGCCCAGCGGATAACGCACAAACGATAACCCTACCACTAGCACGTTCGTTAGCCTCGTCGATGATTTCGCGTTTCTCTTCGACCACGATTTATCTCGGTCGATCGATGAAATCCTCGTCGGAGGATCGGGACAGGTTACTCGAAACGTTGCCCGTAGCTGCAGTCGTTAAAGTCTCGACGGGACACGCGAGTCGAATGGCACCTAGACGACTTACGTAGGTACTCGGTGTTGAAAGAAAGATCTCTCGCGAGATCGTAAAAGAACGAGAAAGATCGGGATCCTCGATCGAAATAGGACATGAAACTCTCACCTCTGCTGAGACTGGACGGAGACATGGACATTCCTGGTCTATTGCCGTCGAAGGTAACAGGCCTTTCCGGCATTTTCATCACGCTGTCTTGCTGAACCGTGCCAGTGCCGGATGACGCGTCGGCACCAGTCGAGGGACTGGACGTCGTCGTGGTAGTGGAAACTGCCGTGATAGCTATACTGTTCGTCACATTGTTCCCGTTGCCATTGCTGACCGGATTGGCAGTGCCGCTCGCGTTACCACTACCGTTGCTGTTCGTAGTTTTGCTAGCTACGTTGCTGCCACACGTTCCACCGTTACTGTTGCCACTGATGCCGTTCGTCGTGCTACCGTTGGTCGTGCTACAACTACTGACAGCTGTCACACTGACCACTCCATCCCTGGCTATGTCCTGAATCGCACTGGCTGCCCTGGAGCCGATACCAGCTGGCTGAAGGATCGTATACTGTTTGGAGGAGTCAGGGCTGGTGACCGCTGGCAGGCCACCGGTGGGACTCTTGTTGCCTGTCACGGTGTTCGGTGGCACCTCGTGCCTCGTCACGTGATGAACCTCTTCCTTCGACGATTTCAACTGTAACAACGACACCGACGCGGAGTGCTTGTCCTCGGTCGCGGGTGAGATTCCGGTAACAGGTTGCGGCGTAGGCATAGCCGGACCTGGCCCAGCAGTGGGGTAGCCGACAAACGTAGCGGATGCTGGGTACGGGCCGATAGGTGGAATCGTCGTCGAGGCCACTGACGGTGTACCGCGGCCAGTCGCTTTCGCGTGGTCCGTGTTGGGTGGTCTGAACGCCGACGTTGCGGAGAACGGAGAATTCGACGGGGGTGAAGAAGAGGAGGCGGTGGAGGCGGTCGGCGAGACCTTCATGCCATTCTCGGTGAACTGTCTGTGATAGTTGGCGTACAATTGTTGGTGATGTTGGTGCTGCTGGTGCCTCGAGGGATTTTGCGGCGACTGACCGTTTCTACACGTCCGATCCCTGTCCCTGTCGTTCATCTTGTCCCTGTCAGCGTCGTCCTTCTCCGCTGACGGGTCGGACATGTCTATCTCCAATTCGTTGGAGGAGTCGTCGACCAGCTCGTTGAAATCCGGTGGATCGTATCTGGAGTACTTGTCCGTCTGACGACCTTGAGCGTCCACGTGAGTACCGATCATACTCCTGTCGTTCCTGTCCTTGTTGGACAAGGACCTCACCGGCACTGCTCTGATTTTACCTGCCTCGGTCACGGTCACGTTGTTCACTTGGTTCTGAATCATACCGCACTCGCTTTCGGATTTTAACAAGCTGTCCAAGTCCTTCTTCACTTTGCTCGCGTGCTGCTGCTGCTTCGTCGCGTCTTGTTGCTTCAGCTGCAGCTGAGATCTGCTGCTCCTGTCCTGCTGGCCGCGGAACGTTATCACGTCTTTCAGGGAACAACCCGCGTCGTTGCTGGTCGTGGAGGAAGTGGACATGGAAGAAGGCGACAACTTGGGGTTGTCCTTCTTCTCTTCGAACAGGTTCTCGAAATTCGACTCGTATTTATCCTCGTCCGAGTTACCCCGTTGATACAAGGAGCCCCTCGGACCGGGCCAACTTCCCGACAGGCTTTTCAGAGCAGCCTCGGTTTCCCTGATCAGAGTCTCATCGTCCTCGGGTTCCTCCGAGTGTTTACTCGACTTTCTCGCAGGGCTACCCGAGTTTCCAGCAGCGAACGCTCGTTTCTTTTGGGGCAGAGGTATGTTCTTGTTCGAGTCATTGGCGTCGAGCGATTTGCGCGTTTCATCGTCGCGGACGCTTTTTCTTCTTCGTTTAGCAGCAGCATCAGCTGTCTCCATTTCTTGCGGAATAATCGCTTGAACAGCCTTCTTGTTGATCAAAGGTTGCTGTTGCTGATAATGCTGCTGCTGTTGTTGTTGTTGTGGCTGCTGTGGTTGCTTAGGATTTGGGCTGACAGATTCTGCTTCCAGCTTCCGTTTTTTGAGATGAGCCATCGCATTCTGGCCACCTGGCACGCTGGTCAGTTCCACCCTGGAACACAAAAATTCCAGAGGATCAGGAAATCTGCTCTCTCATCGGATGCATGGATGCAGTGAGTTTGATCAATGAGTGCAAGCTGGTCGCTCAAGGTCGCTCGACATCTAACAAAACCAATTCCCGTAGCTGGGGAACAGTAGCTCTGTCAGTTCCAAACAACTCAGACCACCACCCGTCCCATCTTCTCGATCCGATCTCTATTCATTTTTACCCTCCTTTATTTTTATTTTCTCTCTCTCTCTTTTTCTCATTAACCGTGCATTCAAAGCCTAAAGTAACCTCGTTTTCTCAAGAAACTTCACCTGAAAGCCGTCGAGGTCCATCGAGGACATCACCTCGAGTCCTGGGACCCTTTCCATCCAGTCGAGACGTCTGCGATCTTCGGCGATTGTATTTCCTTCGATCGAACCACCACACACTCCGTTCTCCTTTCTCTCTCCCTTTATGTACTCTCAGTGTCCTATGATTACCGGTGTGATCGGCCGTAACACGGAACCTCTCGGCCACGATCGTGCACGCACTCGATGTGATATACGCACGCGCGCGCGCGCTCGCTCGCGTGTTCACGCACCAGTCACGCGTGCTTCGGTCGGCTCGCCGACTCGATACGATATATAGACGGATGCCTTTGCGTCGCACAAGTGCGCGGAAAGCCCTTCCACGCAGGGTGCTCGCGAGCTACTGTGTGCTATGTTTAAGTTCGTTCGGGGGTGGCGATCTTCCACAGCGACCGGAGGGGATGAAGGCTTGCGCGAGCAACTCGCAGCTTCTGCTTCGCCGCGAAAAGTGGGGGCGGGTTCTGCGCACTGTCCACCCCTTTTAGCTTTAGCTGGAACGCGATTCCCGGCCTCTCAGCACATCCCCCGTCACTCACCTCACCACCCCCAAGCAGGAGTAGGGGACACGGCCCCTGGATGCACACCGAGGTGTTCGCTGTGTTGGGTTACGGGCGCCGGTACACCTTCGGCCGCTTATATTCACCCACATCTTAACTTCCACCACCACCACCACCACCACCACCACCACCACCACTATCGGCCCCTACTCACCCCATCGCGCTCTGTCTCGCCGCGATCTACGCGTACCTGTGCTACCTGGTTCTCTTTCGCTGCCTTAAGGAGTCCCGGCGATGCTGGTCCCCGGCCAGAGACCTCCTGTTCTCCCGTCTTTTTTACATTCAGCCGGGTGTGCCTCTGGTAACGAGCAACGTCAAATTCAATTAGAATTAAACTCCGTGATCGTCGCTGTATTTACTTCTGATTACCCGGAACGGCGCTCGTGACGCGCCGCGTTTAAAGAGGCCTCGTTATAATTCGGCTAAACGCCTGATTTCTTCTCGAATTTTCCTCGCGAATTTTCTCGCTATGCCGAGAATAAAACGTGGCGAAAACGTGGAGAGAATGTGGAGAAAATGAGAGGTCGATAACGGGGAGGGGGGGTTGGAACGATATCGATACTTACGTAAGAAATGGTATCGCGTACAAGCGAATTTCCTCCATAATCGCTGCCTCGAGTTACAACGCTGAGAGGCCCAGTTCGGACTCGTTCATCTGTCTCTAAGTCCCTATATTTTAGCGTAATCGAGGCGAATTACGCGAGGTCGGTTCCCCGAGTTGCCCGACTCGAATCGGGGAGCTAACGCCGCGATAAAATACCTCGAATACGGCGAATAAAGTTTATTCTTAACCCGGCGTTGCTGCAGCCAGGTATTCGGACGTAGCTATATTTGGACGACATTTATCGATCCCTTATGTAACAAAAGCTAGCGTGCACACGTTGCTGGCCGAATTCGTATGGACAGGCACGCTTAGCCCGGCCCGCTTGCCGATCGCTCGCGATCGAGAGGGACTATATTTTCAATCGACTCCAGAGGCAGCCCCCGACTGGCCAGGCCGTACGGTTTAGAGCGATAGCGGGAAGCTACAACTCGAATTAGATAAACCCAGGTTCCGAGAGGCGGTACAGGAAGAAGAAGAAGAGCAGGATCAGCGCGAGCGCTTAGCGGGAGCTTGCAAGGATCTCGGGAGTGAGAGAGGGCTTTCCTTAAACCCTAAACCCTCCTCAGACCACGGGAAGCTCGGAGAGTTTAGAGCAACGAACTCCTAGAAAGGACCGCGGGAAGAGAATGTGCCCTCTGACTAAAATCGGAAGTTAAATCGCACCAACGGCTTAAGACATTATCACTTTTCTTTGCCGGCCAGTGCTCATTGGTCCGGCACTCGGTGTTCCAGAGTTCGAGAGCCAAACGAGCGAGTGGAAAGAGAAGGAGAGAAAGAGAGAGAGAGAGAGAGAGAAAGGAGGAAGGTGGCTGAAGCGGAGCAAGGAAGAGCTCGAATCCCTTCCAGTTAGGGATCAATGCTTCCTCGTCCACCCTCCAATTACGTGTCATCCCTTATGGCCTGTGGGGAATAATTAGAAAGCAGCCCTTCTCCTGGACCGAGTACCTACGTCCGTGGACGTGGTATCGCGTAAAGATTGGTTTCGTTTTCGCGTCCGAGGAAAATGTCACGTCCGCTGTTAAAGTCTCTCAGTCCAATCGCGAATCGACGACCCTTGCTGAAGAATCTTTACATTCCGATATCCAGTGATTAAAAGCAGTAAAATATAAATAGAAATTTGCGTGAGAATTTTTATTTAAAACTGAGAAGAGAGATAAGAAGCACTGCACGGGTTACGGTACCGTAGACTGTTACTGTTGGAATCAAAAGTAGAACAGGACTGTGATTAATGACACTGCGGCATTACCCTGTTCCATCGCCGAATTTACCATAATCTGCCTAGGAGTCTATGTAATCTACGATTAAACGTAGACCAAGCATGATTTGATACCGTATCTATTACCCACGTTTCGTTCGTCGTAATAGACACAAATGGTCTCTGTGATTAGCGAAAGATATGTAGTTTCTTCGAGAAAGGTACTTTAAAAATGAACGTACACTGAGAGTACTTGGTCCAAGTGGTACGCGCTTGCTGCTCAGCCTGCGCCGACTGATAACAGTCCTCCCTCTCTACAGACATGAAGATTCTCGACACCTCAAAATCCGTACTCGTCAATTAATTAGCAAGTGCCGTTCGTAGCGGAGGAGATGGTTACCCAGGAACACGAGGCTGCAGAGCGGACGATGGTGCCTCCACTGAAGGGATTAGAGTATTAGGCGACGTCACGTCACTAGAGTCTAAAGGAGCCTTCTTGGAACTGTGCTCTCAGAGATAGCCCAAACTTACACACCCCCTTCGTCTTGCCGATGGTTCTTCAAGTACCCTCTCCTTCTCTCTCTCTTACACTTTCCCTCTTCATGCCCGCTTCCTTAGTCTCGCTCACTCTCTCCTCATCTTTCGTCGTTGCTCCTCGTCGCTTCTGGCGTCCTTCTTCGAGCTCTCGACAATTCCAATTAGATAAACCACGGCAGGATCACGGTACTCTTAGCGGTATTCGGGGTTAAGTCTGTCTCCAGATTTATGCCCAAACGATCGCAAAATATCGGAGTTCAGAGATTTTCAGAGAATTTTTAAATTACAAACGAGATCAGCTGGTTCGCCTTTGTGTACCAACGACTGGGAGTGATCTTCGTCGCACCTACACTGGTGGAACACCCGCGAAGGGTGTTCTCGCGAAAGGAACTCGTACATCTTTTTCTCGCCGACGTTCCAGGGCGGGGAGGTCGGGGCTAGGCGAATGCCGGATAATTTAGGGGTCTCTCACGCGTGGATAATGGGGAACTTGGCTAATGCACCCCACTTGGCACCACGTGGATTCGCGTGAGTTTTGCGACTCAGACGCTTCCCGTTTCCCTCCTTAAATGCTGAATGAAGGCGCTGCGTGACCGTGGAACAACGCGAACAGATTCCGTGCAATTTATATCCATAAAACTCTACTTTTCCACAATAATATTATACCATACCCGAGACATCCAAAAACTTCCCAATCTTCAAACAAATTATACATTTCGCGATATTCGTAATATTGGAAATATATAAAACATAGATATACCTTTCATATGGTTTTTAAAATATAATATTTCTAGCACTCTTGTAACCTGCAATAGAAATATAATTTTCAATAAAAGATAAGGGTATACTAATTTTTGTCATTTCGCTTTAGCATTGTGTAGTGAACTTTGTCTCCAGTAAAATTGTTTGGAGTCTTGGAAAGGTCGAGGAATAATGAAAAGAATTTTGAAATATTCCAAAATATGAATAGCAAATATAGAAAATTTGTTAGCCCCGACAAGAATCCCGAGAACTCTTATTTAACCAGCGAGGAGCCATGGCGCGGGCCATTGTCTGACCATCGACGGTGACATTCTACTGAACGCGGATCCAGCCCGAGAAACCTAACGAATTGGCTTTATTTCCAAAGGGGATCCAACGATGCTGCCGCCATTCTCCGAGCTGCTTTCACCGGGTGGGACGGGGGACGGATTTTAAAGCGGACTCGTGTCGTGGCATCGACGCAGGCGGCGAAAGAACGCTGTGACTGGGACAGCTGCCCGATTCGGACATCGTTCCGGCTCCGGGGAATAGCTCTCGTCCCTTTGCTAACTATCCGCCCTTACGTCAACCACTTCGCTCTCTTCCCGTTTCTTTTCCACCCGCGTGCTAGCCCGCCGCGCCCCAGCTCGCAGACTGACGTCTTAAAGCAATCGAATTCTGATCAAATATTTAACGCTGCCGGGGCCAACGCTTTAAGTGGCTCCTCCTCCGTAGCTGGACCCTGTTCTCCCGTGTAAGAAGCGCCTTACATCGCTGTCCTGTTCCATCGAGTTTCCAGATGGCTGGTTTAAGCGTGCCTCGCCTTAAGTGAGAAATATACGTCCCTTATTTTTCAACTTTTAAGTGTTCCACGCCGGCTAAAATGGCACCGATGACATCTCTCGTAGATTACCACTGTTTCCCGTGTTTGTTGCTTCGACTCTTCTGTAACGCTCGCAACTCGCGAGAATTGCGAAATAAACAACGCGAAAAGTCTCAAACCTCTCGAATATACTTCGTCT